AGAGAGAGAGAGAGAGAGAGAGAGAGAGAGAGAGAGAGAAGTTCACTGTGTATGTTTTTACGTCCCCATCGACATAATTTAGATTATTGCGGATGTCTTCCTACGTCTTCCTACCCTGTCTGTACTGTCAAGTCTAACTTGGGCTGAGGGGCATATTACATCCAAACAGAGGACCAAGATACTCTATAAAAGTTAATTAAAAGTTTCTCTCCTCTTGGGAATCGAACACGTGTCTCCTGCGTCCAACTGTGAAGCGTCTAAGACTAACCACTACACCACAAACGCAGAGAGATTTAGTATAATTTAGTTTTAGTAAGCAAGTTTTACGGCATTTGCAATGTACAATAACGTCACATAAGTGCCAAAGTGAAAAAGTAAAAGTGAAAGATAAGAGGTTTTAGTTCACAAGAGAATCATCTATCCGGTGCCTTGCTGTCCATGGGATACGTAGCATGCGTCTCATGAACCACAACTCTGCCGCAACAATTGTTTTTTCCAGCTGTTTATTGATTGTCCATGCTTCGCACCCGTATAATAGGATTGGCTCGATGTAGCTTTTCATTACTCTTTTCCTCATTTCCAGTGACAGATTGATGTTTGTTAGTATCTGTTTCATCTTGTGGAAGGTTGCTTTTGCTTGGCAAATGCGGCTTCACAAGAGAATAACAAACACAAAAAAAGGAGGACGAAAGATCAGAACTATAATTAAAAGATGTTCGACAGGAAAGAAGGAGCAAACAACACAAGAGGAAAACTATCAGAGCCGCGCACAGCATTGTATCAGAGCCGCGCACAGCATTGTATCACTATCAGAGCCGCGCATTTTTTTGACGAAATCGATACAATTACATGTAGATTGCAGATTCGATCCACCAACAGTTACAGCCCTCCTTGCCAAAACTACTCTGTACAGTCACTGTCCAAATATATTAAGACCTGTCCAAAGCAAAAGTCAGACACTCGGAGGGAGAGCTTTTTCACACCCCGCCTATCCTTGTGGAACGCTTTACCAGTTCATATCTACGGGAGTCCAACACTTCATCAAAATTTAAATCAGAACTTAAAACGCATTTGTTTCAGCCCACCTTCAATCTGTAACGTCCGACATTCCCAATACAAATATTATCATGTTCTCTCAGTATCACAATGTATGTTCTCTCAGCATCGTTAATTCATGCTGTCCTGTTCTGTAACAATTTATGACTGTGTGAATTCATCAATGTGTGCGAGGGTGTCTGGGTAAGCTTTGTGGGATTGTCTTTACTCACGGATGTACTGGAGAGAGAGAGA